CGATTAAAAAAGATTTTTGTTGGTGTTTACCCAGATGAAAGACATCTTTGTCCATATGAAGCTGTTACTTCTTTGTTATCAAGAACTTCCCTATGGCGTGTATCTGCTGATCAAAAACGTGCTCTTTTTCTTATTACAAAAGAACCTCACTCACCAGCTTCCGTGGATACAAAATTTTCTGATGCATTGATGTTCGCCACCAAACGCAATTTTGTCAGTAGCGTCATACTCATTCAATGGAGTGGGTTGAGTTAATCTTACAAATATCGTGCAAATAAAGAAAAGTGTAGTCAAAGAGACACAATACCATTAAAATAATTTTGGTTAATTTTTATTGAAAAAAAAAAATTAATTTGTAATTTATTGTTCAGTCATTGCACATTTTAGCTCCGAAATTAATTAAGAATTTGGCACAACAAATGATAATATTATAAAATATTGATACATAATTCCATTTTTTCTGGACCATTTTTTAATAAATCTTACTACTAGTTACTCTTTTATAATTATTATTTATATGGAAATATTCTAGTTATTTTATGATACTCTAAAAGATTATTGATTTTATAATATTTGCTAAAAAGTGACACTAATAAAGTTATCAAACAACGTAGTTTATATATGTATACTATATATCACTATATTAAAATTACCCATTTAAAAATCGTTAACTAAACGCTTTTATAAAAAGTCTTATTTTAAATTAGAATATTAATAGGACCCCGAAATATAGTATATACATAAAAAGGTCAGGTTCGAGTTTGCGTACAATCAGCAAAAAAACAATGAAAATCTTTCCTTATATAGATAATTCCTGGTGGAAATGTATTACCTTTTTTGGATGCTGAGTGCTGACCGAAATTATCATAATTCCGGCCCTGAAAAAATGCGTGCTAGTAATTTTTTTGGCCGCCACCTTACCTCTGTATATATATTTCGGGGGTCATATTTAATTTCAGGTTACATATTACAGTTTTTTTAATATTTGCGTAATTTATTATCTTGTGAGTAAATATGTAATGACTAGTGAATATAAGAAATATAAGAAAATTAAAAGGATTTTCAAAAGAATTTAATCAAAAATTTTCTGTTAGATTTTTATTTAAAAATTCAGTAATTATAATATCTTTAAATCAATTTTATTTTTATTTTTTTTTTGAAGTTATAATCTATTAATCACTTAAAAGTTAAAATATTGAAATTTTATTAACTTCTTTATAAAAGTTTTTCTAATTCATTTTGAGCGAGTTGATCTCCTTGTTCCGCAGATTTTTTTAACCAATAAATTGCCCTATCCATATTAACAAATCCTTCTCCATTTTTATACATTAAAGCAAGATTATATTGAGCTACATTATTTCCTAAATTTGCTGCTTTATAATATAATTCAAATGCTTTTTGTTTATCAATATCAGTTCCAATTCCACTTTCATAACAGTATCCCAAATTATTTAATCCATCAGTATTTCCTAAATTTGCTGCTTTTTGATATAATTCAAATGCTTTTTTCTCATCAACATCAATTCCAATACCATTTCGATAACATTCTCCTAAATTATTTATTCCAAATGCATTTCCTAAATTTGCTGCATTTTTGTATAATTCAAATGCTTTCTGTTTATCAATATTAGTTCCAATTCCATTTTCATAACAATTTCCTAAATTATTTATTCCAGCCGGATTTCCTAAATTTGCTGCTTGTTGATATAATTCAAATGCCTTCTTTTTATCAACATCAGTTCCAATTCCATTTTCATAAAAATCTCCTAAATAATTTATTCCAGCTGCATTTCCTAATTCTGCTGCCTTTTGACATAATTCAAATGCCTTTGATTTATCAATATTAGTTCCAGCTCCGTATTGATAACAATATCCTAAACTAATTATACCAAATGCATTCCCTAAATTTGCAGCAATTTGATACAATTCAAAAGCCCTATTTTTATCAATATTAATTCCCATTCCCAAGTAATTAAAATCTCCGAGTAAAACAGTAGAATTCGAATTATTTTGATTATTTAATGCCCAATTATAAATTTCTTGTAAAGTCACATTATTATTATTAAGATAATTAAGAATTTCCTGCTTTTCTGCATCATCTCCTATCTTATTTGTAAGTTGAATGATTTTATTGACCATTACGCTAAAATTGCAACTAATCTGATTGTTATTTATTGCTTTCAACCTAGCATCTACCTGATTAACAGTTGGACGACTGTCTGGTTCTCCATTCCAACACTCTAAAAAAAACTTCATTAGTTCAAATAATGATTTTCTAATTTATAACTTCAGTAATAAATAAAATCATACTTACCAGTATAAAGATTAACATAAGCTGTAGGTGTATCAGGAACGGGTGTTTCTCTATGGCCTTGCGAAATTTGAAGAATTAAACTAAAAGATGATATTCCATCAAATGGTGGCTTTCCACTTGATATCTCCCAAAGAAGTACACCAATACTATAGACATCACTCTTTTCATTTAAAGAGAATGAGTGTGAACTAAATTTTTTTGGATCAATATATGGTATTATACCAAATGAATCGGAATTTTGACAGGTTTCACTAATCCTTTTTGATAGTCCAAAATCGGCCAACTTGATGGTGTTTTGATGGATTAAAACATTATTTGAGTGCTATTATTGAATATAATAAATGAAACCATTAAATTAAGATATACAATGTGTATAATATCAATAAAATTAATCTAATTACCAAATTACGATGTGCAATTCCTTCATCATGCAAACATGATATTGCACAAACCAGTTGAAATGCAAATTTATATTTATCATTCCAAGTAAGATTTTTAAAATTTTCTTTTAAATAATTTCGGAGTGTACCACTGTTAGCATATTCCATTACCATCAAATATTGGTTTTCTTTTAAGAAAATCTACAAGTTAGTTTATTAATTATTGTATATATATTATATAAAAACTGATCATACCCTCATTAGTTGTGACACCATAAAAATGGATAATATTATCATGAAGTCCAACTTCACGTTGAAGTTGAATCTGAATAATAAATAGAATTTTTAATATCAAAAAATGTATGTAATATTAATAATAAATGAATATTCTTGACATTATTACCTCATGAACAATTACTTTAATTACAGTGTCATTGAAATTAAAAAAGGATTTTAGTGCATAATTTTTATTGGAATTCTTCCAATTTGTACGATGAACTTTTCCAAAGCTTCCAGAACCAATTTCCTGAAAATTATAAAATTGCTCAAAATCATAATGTTTGATGAGTTTATTTGAAATAGCTTCTTCAATCCATTTATTCCAATCATTTGAATTGTTAGTAGATCTGGTGTTATTATTAAACATTGTGGACTGTGGAGTAAAGAAAAACTCTTATTGAGAAAGCAATTTATGATTATAAAGGCAGAAAAGAAAACACAAATATATGTTCCAGCTAGAGTATATATATTTTTTATTATTACATAATATTCGATGCAGGGGTATTAGTGTATTACACAATGTATAAGTGTGACAATGGCACAAAATTTTAAGGAGTAATTATTATATCGCACTAAAATTCTTTTGGAAATATTCAAATAACTTTTATAATCAATCTATGAGCATTATGTAATCAGGTAATACAATATAATATCATTTTATTTATCGCCTTTATCGCCTGACTGTTATCATATGTACTAAATTGGAATTAATAGTTATTCAGCACATTATTCTAACATGCATCATCAAATAATAAATGCCCGACAATGAAGTTGTAATGTGATTTTGACATAAATTTTTGTAAATTAGCCGCCGCAGTAAGAATTTTCCTATATTAAAACAATGTAAACGCAAAACTTAACTGCAATATTATTGATAGTTCAAAATGAGTGGATTGACAAACTACAAATTAAATTAATATTACAACTACAAATATTTAATAATATTAGTTTTGGAATTCAGAAAAGTATAGGTAAGATTTTTATATTTATTTATTATTAAATTCTTTTCTAATATATACATCATGAAATCTTTAGTAAAAAGAAAATTAAGAAATAATTCAAAAAAGATATTGCTCTTGATAAAATATACTGATAGTTACGGCGGCGTACTATTTGGACCAAAAGTGACAAAATTATGAAAATCGAAATTTTGAAATTTTGGATTTTCAAAATTCCTTTTTTAAATTTCTTTTTATGGCAAATTTCCCTTTATAATATAGATTGACGTTATGCGTTTTTCTTAATGAAACTAGTTTTAAGTAAAAATGAAAAAAAATGAAAAAAATGAAAATAACTTTTTTAAGCAATCAATCTTGTCTTTATTAGGTAATGTGTATGAAAGGTTGTAATCTAATAAATCTGTACACAAAAATTGGGGGATCCGTGTAAGGTAATTTGACTATTAATCAAAGTCACAGCTTTTAAATGTTACACAATAGGTGCAGTGCAGAGATTTTTCTGCTGCTAAGCTATTTCGGAGCGAACAAAAAAACTTTTCTCGGAATATTCAGAACTAAAAATTATCCCATTTAGGACTGTTATAAATTACTTGGTAACATATTCAATTTCATTTTGTTATTTATTTATTAACGTTCATTTTCGGTTTTTAAAATTAGCCTTAAGAGACACTTTAGCGAATCTTGCTAAAACAGAAAGTATTTCCATTTTTAATTTTAAAAATGAACATAAAGTTAACTATGACAATATTTTATTTTATTATAATACTTAACATAGATTATATGAAATAACGATAATAAGGATTATGTAACTTTAGTTTCAGACTGAAATTTCTTCGTCTATTATTTAGAAATATTAAATCTATATTTCGGTTACTTAAGATGCTGCAGAGCTTTTTTTCAGTTATTTTAATTCTATGGAATTATGTAAACGCTATTACAGACAAAAACAATGATACATGTGTTATAAAATCTAATCTTCAGAATTATAATTTTTTTTACTAATTTTTACACTTTAAAACAAAAAAAAATAAAGTTATTTTTAATATCAGCGTGTAATAATCGCTAGATAATTTGTATTTCGTTTATTATTAATACTTAATAGTAGTCATTATTATTTCCATATTAATGTTGTAAGAAAACTGTCCATTTGACGTAATGGCTAAGTTTATCATCACGAGTAAGTTTTTAGAATATTTTATTAAGATTTAGGGAAAATATATCAGTAAAGTCGACATCGCACTAAGGTTCAATTAGATAATAAAATCGTAACATACAGTTTCTTTAAAGAGCGTTAATAACATTTTAAATTAAAACGTATATTAGAATTTTAATGACTGTGATGCATAAAATTAACAAAAAATTTTCCGACTTTGCATGATTAACTTTACTTCAAAACTGATACCAATTTGCTCAGTTCAAGTTCCGTTGCTTAAAAGCAAGCTAAACTATTTTGACAAAACGAAGCTTCTGAGCAATTGAGTTTAAATTTCCATATATTAACAAAAATTAAATGGAATATTGATTATGGCAATATCAGAAAAATTTACAAAAGTCTCATTTTTAAATCTTTTTATCAATTCCATTACTAATGAAATCGTTCGTGAGATAAATTTAATATAAGCATAGACAAAGGATATGATGCATAATGGGATTTTTATCGGTTAAATAGTTTCATTTACTTTATTACCAAACTTCTTAATATTTATCGTAGAACTCCACAGTTATTTCATTTATCGGCCTAAACATTCCAGTCGTGAAATCCAAGGATTTCAACTCCAATATCAACGCTAACTCTAACGGTATTCTTCAGCCCAAATCAATATTCCTAATCCTTACCCTAATCCCATGCTTACCTAACCCTAAGCAAGTCTAAAACGTCAATTTTAACTTTAAAAATACAAATTAAAATTGTTTAAATCAATGTCACATTTTATTTTAATAAATAATAACTTAGTCTCTGTTAATCTTAATTTAAATTTTAAATCGTAATATTTATAAATTAAAATCTATATAGAATATACCAAACATTTTTATCTTTAAACTAAATAAAATAATTTACAATAGTAAAATAACTGTATATAACAAGTATTATCAGTATGGCCTTTTCATGTTATTCACTTTTTTAAAATTTTTCAACATCAACTAATTTGGTATTAGTGCTAAATGATTTCTTTACTGCTCTATATTACTGACTAGTTTTTGTTCTTCTAGATGAGAATATGCTTTTCTGGTAGAATTAATTAGATCGTCAAAATAACTTGGTTGAAATTTTGTTCGTTGGACTGATATTATTGCTTACTTGGTGATTTCCAAGTTATTAGGTTAGTGATTTTTTTGTTTCTGTAGGTTTTCATATTTTCTACAAATTTCGAATTAATACCTTTAGCTCTATAATAACATGTAAATTCAAATAATGGTTTAAAAGATCTATAGGCATTGCAATAGGCGTTTTTACAAATTAGAATTTCATTATAATAATACAAGTTAACTTTTTATTTTAAAAAACAATTTTGTAAGGCCAAATGAATAAAAATATTAGTTCCTCATCACAAGCCGGGTCATGTGAATGTCACGAAAAAAAAAATTATTTTATTTGATCATATGATGCCGATTTTGTTTCACCCGCAGAAAATTTATTAAAATCAGCTAATCATCTTGAATAAATTTTATTGTTAAATTAATATTGCATTATATTTTAATAAAATAATTACTCTAATTTTATTAATTTAAAAGAATTTGTTTTACTCATGAATTAACATCTATAAAGTTTCATTATATTCTCAAGCAATCATCTTTTGAGTGGAGTATCTTAGGGTAGGGAAAGTTAGTTTAGGCTGAAATACTTATCTTTGAAGATAACATTGACGTTGGAGTATCTTAGGGTTAGGTAAGGAAAGTTGGTTTAAGCGGAAATACTTATCCTTGAAGATAACGTAAACGTTGGAATATCTTAGCGTAAGGAAGGTTAGTTTAGGCTGAAACTTTTACCTTTGGAGTTAGTGTTAACCTTAAACTGCGTAGTGCAATTTTTATAGCCACACTTAGCCACAGAAATCACATGAAATCACGTGACAGAGCTTACCTAACTTTATTGATGATTTAGAAATCACGTGGACAATTACGATCCAAATTCTAAATTTAGAAACGAAATAATCAACATGATCAACAGTTACCTTCGGAGTTTGGTGATACCATTTAGTGATACCAATTTAATTTATAAATAGTTTAATCAAATATTCATGTAATTTTTTTCCTAATTTTTGGAAAGCGTCAAATTGACTTCCGCAGTAAGAGTTCTCAACGATGTCTAATAAAAATGACAATTCAAATGAATGGATTAACTGGATTGAAGAAGGTCTTTCTAAAAAACTTATTAAATATTATGAATTTGAGCAATTTTATAATCTTCAAGAAGTTGGTTCCGGAGGTTTTGGAAAAGTTCAACGTGCAAATTGGAAAAATTCTCATAAATATTATGCATTAAAATCATTTTCTACTTTCAACGATACTACAATTAAAGAGATTGTTCATGAGGTAGTAATTAATTATTCCACACCACAGAATTTAACACCATAGTCATATGATTTATGTATTTTTTTTTATTCTATATTATTTAGTAGTCTAGCTAAGCTGATCCTATTGAGTTGAATACCAGTGGTGTGGAATAGTATAGTCATTAAATTTATTATAAATATATATGTTTCTGACATAAAATTCTATTTATAGATTCAACTTCAGCGTGAAGTTGATTTTCATGAAAATGTTATCTGTTTTTATGGTATTACAAATTCCGGTAAAGGTATTATAAATTTTAATAATATTATTTTTAAATTAAATGGTGACTAATCAATTTTTTAATCTTTTTCTTTAAAGATAACCAAAGAAAAGATTATATGCTAGTATTAGAATATGCTGATAATGCTACTCTCCGAAATTATTTAAAAGAAAATTTTAAAAATCTTACTTGGAAGGATAAATTTAATTTTGCATCTCAACTGGTCTATGCAGTATCATGCTTACATGGTGAAGGAATTGTACATAGAGACTTGGTAAATTTCTATTATACATTAACTATTATGAAAATTAACATATATGCAATAAATTAATTTATAGTAACAATTATTTAATTTTTTATATTTTAATAATAGCATTCTAAAAATGTGCTGGTCCATCAAAATACTATTAAATTGGCTGATTTTGGACTATCAAAAAGAATTGAAGATTCATCCAACTTTCAATCAAAAGTATTTGGAATGGTTGCTTATATTGACCCAAAAATATTTAATAGAGGAAGAAATAACAATAATGAACAAATAAAAGTATATTCATTAAATGAGAAAAGTGATATTTATAGTACTGGTGTACTGTTATGGGAAATATCCAGTGGCCAACCGCCTTTTAATGATGAATTAAATGATATTGGCTTGGCTATGGAGATTTTTAAAGGCTATAGAGAAAAACCTATTCCTGATACACCTAAAGAATATATACATCTTTATACTGGTAAATACAATTTAAACTTATAATTTATAATCAATGTTGTTTCAACTAGTTGAAGTTTTTTTTTTTTGTAGATTGTTGGAATATTGAACCTGATGATCGTCCAACTATCATACAAGTGGTTGATAGATTAAAAGAAATTATAATAAGAAAAAATATAATTATAAAAGATTTTTATTTAAATGATAATGATAAAAGTATCCAATCATCAAATAACAATCAGCCTAATTCAAATGTTAAAATTTCTAAAAGTACTATTAATTCACTATTACATGGAAGTTTATCTCAAATTATTCAAAATTTTGATATAATGAATTCAAAAGAAATAGAAACTTCAATATCAACAAGTTATCAATTTAATATAATAACTAATTATATAATTAATTTACTAGATAATGACTATGATGAAATAGGAAAACAGAAAGTGCTAAATTATCTTAATGACTATAATAAAACTTTGCAAGAAATTAATGTTTGGTTATTAAATAATCAAAATAAATCTGATTCTTTTGTTTTACTTGGAAAATTTTATTATTTGGGAATTAGTACCAATGTTGATGAGAAAAAAGCATTTGAATTATTTCAAAAAGCAGCAGATTTAGGAAATGCATCTGGAATATATAATTTGGGATATTGTTATGATAATGGAATTGGAACTGATATTAATGAAAAAAAGGCATTTGAATTATATCAAGAGGCAGCAAATTTAAAAAATGCATTTGGATTAAATAGTTTAGGATATTGTTATACTATTGGAATTGGAACTGCTATTGATTATCAAAAAGCATTTAAATTATATCAAAAGGCAGAAAATTTTGGAAATTCATCTGGAATGAATAATTTAGGATATTTTTATCAATGTGGAATTGGAACTAATATTAATTATCAAAAGGCATTTAAATTATATCAAAAGTCAGCTGATTTAGAAAATGCTTCTGGGATGTATAGTTTGGGAAATTGCTATGAAAAAGGAATTGGAACTGATATTGATTATCAAAAGGCATTTGAATTATATCAAAAGTCAGCAGATTTGGGAGATACATCTGGAATGAGTAATTTAGGATTTTGCTATGAAAGTGGAATTGGAACTGGTATTAATAAACAAAAAGCATTTAAATTATATCAAAAATCAGCAGATTTAGAAAATGCATTAGGAATATGCAATTTAGGAAATTGTTATAATAATGGAATTGGAATTGGTATTAATAAGCAAAAGGCATTTGAATTATATCAAATGGCAGCAGATTTAGGAGAAGAATTTGGAATGAATAATTTGGGAGATTGTTATAATTATGGAATTGGAACCAATATTAATTATCAAAAGGCATTTGAATTATATCAAAAAGCAGCAAATTTAGGAAATGCATCAGGAATGAATAATTTAGGAGATTGTTATAATAATGGAATTGGAACTGATATTAATAAGCAAAAGGCATTTAAATTATATCAAAAGGCAGCAAATTTAGGAAATGAAAAGGGAATAAATAATTTAGGATATTGTTATAGCAATGGAATTGGAACTGATATTAATAAGAAAAAAGCATTTGAATTATATCAAAAGGTAGCAAATTTAGGAGATATATCTGGAATAAATAATTTAGGAAATTGCTATCAATATGGAATTGGAGTTAAGGTTAATTACCAAAAGGCATTTGAATTATATCAAAATGTAGCAGATTTAGGAGATGCAAAAGGAATAAATGATTTGGGATATTGTTATCAAAAAGGAATTGGAACTAATGTTGATAAAATAAAGGCGTTTAAATTATATCAAAAGGCAGCAGAATTAGAAAATACATTTGGAATAAATAATTTAGGAAATTGTTATAAAAATGGAATTGGAACTGATATTAATTATCAAAAGGCATTTGAATTATATCAAAGGGCAGCAGATTTGGGAAATGTACAGGGAATAAATAATTTAGGATATTGTTATAGATTTAAAATTGGAACTAATATTAATAATCAAAAGGCATTTGAATTATATCAAAAAGCAGCAGATTTAGGAAATAGTACTGCTCAATATAATCTTGCTTTCATGTATGAAAGTAATAAATCAATAGATGATGCACTTTATTGGTACAAACAATCTGCTGAACAAGGAAATCAATATGCTCAAAATAAGTTAAATGAGCTTAATAATCATGAAATTTGATGATTTGCTTAATATAAATACTTTTTTACAACATAAAATATAATTTTTTTATCTTATTCTTATTTTTTCATATTTAGTAATTACCAATATTGAAAAAATTTCAAAATAAAGTGGAATTGATAATAAACACTTTTTTTTTTAAATATTTATGCATATATGATATGTTATATTTATGTTGTATGTTTATATACATTTTATATAAGAATTTTTCTAACTATCACCGGGGTGATGATCACCGGTGACTGAAATTATGACGATCGACCAGCATTGAAAAATATAGCGTCGGTAAAAATTGTTAATTCTGGACTACGGTGATGATCACTCCAGTAAAAACTATATATAAAATAAATATTTTTTTTTTTTTAGGATTTACTAATTTTGTAAAAACTGTAAAAAAAGTGGAATCTAATGTACATGAAATGTTTATTCTTTTTGCCAATAGCAAATATATGATTTTTTACCTATTTTTTCATTGTATATGATAAATTTTTACAATACAAGTATTTGTGCATTTTTTCATCAGTAATAATTTAGGATCAGGATCCTTATCCCAGTAAAAAGTCCTGTACTGAATTCATATTAGGTTTGTATTGAATTTATACATGAGCCCGTTTGGTACGAAAAATTGGACCATAAATGGGATAAAATTAAAATAAATATGGCCAAATTTTATACCGAATGGGCTCATTTTATAATTAGCCTATATTTGGTACAAGAACTTTTTACTGGGTATGGATTCTTTATAGATGGAAAGAATCCTTAAAGATCCTTAAATTGATTATAAAATTTTATGGATCCTTAAGAATTTTATAAAATTTTTATCAAGGAATTATAAAAAAAAATCCCACAGAATTTACTATAGAGTCTGATCTATTATTACCATAAAATTTATTATACTAATCTATTGTTATAATGTTATGACAATAATCCTCATAAAATTTACTATACCGATCTATTATTACAAAAAAAACACTAAAATTTGTTATCTACTACTTATTAGCATTAATAGTAGAAATGGCAATCACCAAAAAGAGAACTAAAAATAATACATTATTAGTAATCAACATAACTTGCCAATCAAGTACGTGGATCTTAACTATAAAGAATATGGATGGAACAGACACAGACATGTTTACAATTTAAAATTAATTTATATTTTATACTGACAGGCTAATCTAAATGTAACCGATCAACATTTATTTTTTTATTATATATACTGTATTTAGTTAAATAAACCTACAAACAAATAAAGAAACAAATATTAATTTTAGGGATTCTATAGAATCTTTTGATAGGGAATTCTCACTGATAGAGAGGTTTCTTAGGAATCCTTGTTAATTATGAGGTTTTGGAATTCCTGTGGTTCCACATTCAAAAATTTACTGTACTGTTAGATTATCTATAAATTAAAATGATACAGCCTTGTGTATTATGTGACATTGAAATACCTGTGCAAATCACAAGATTTTGATGTATTGGATAATTAATTTTGACTATCATGATTAATTTCAACTCAGTAAAAAGTCTGTAATTGTATAAAATTCATATACTAGTTTTTGTAATAATTGTTTAATTTTGTTATAGTATTTGCTAAATTTAAATATTTTTATTTTTAAAGTTTAAACATAATTATACAAAATTGCATGATTTCTAAATTTATTTGAAATTTGTGCTAGAGTAGTAAATAATATTATAATAACTAACACTTAAATAAACGAAAGTAACTAAATACTATAAAGTATTTTATTCTAATTAATTTACTTTACATGAATTATTCATTTCCTTTTTAGACATTTTTAATTTATCTTGAGCATCTTGATTTCCTTGTTCAGCAGATTTTTTGTACCAATAAATTGCTTTATCCATATCTACAGCAATTTCTTCTCCATTTTCATACATCAAAGCCAAATGAAATTGAGCTATATTATTTCCTAAAAGTGCTGCCTTTTGATATAATTCAAATGCCTTTTGTTTATCAATATGAGTTCCAATTCCATTTATATAACAATATCCCAAATTACTTATTCCAGTTGCATATCCTAAATCTGCCGACTTTTGATACAATTCAAATGCCATATTCTTGTCAATATAAACTCCAATTCCTTTTTCATAGCAATATCCTAAATTACATATTCCAATTGCATTTTTTAAATCTGCAGCTTTTTGATATAATTGAAATGCTTTATAATTATTAATATTAGTTCCAATTCCACTCATATAACAATTACCTAAACTAACTATCCCAGATGCATTTTCTAAATCCGCAGCTTTTTTATATAAATCAGATGCTTTATATTTATTAATATTAGTTCCAATTCCACCCATATAACAATTACCTAAACTAACTATTCCAGATGCATTTTCTAAATCTGCAGCTTTTTGATATAATTTAAATGCTTTTTTTACATTAATATTAGTTCCAATGCCATTTTTATAACAATTTCCTAAATTATTTATTGCAAATACATTTCCTAAATCAGCTGCTTTTTGGTATAATTCAAATGCCTTTTTCTTATCAATTTTGATTCCAATTCCATTTTTATAACAATTTCCTAAATTATATATTCCCAATGCATCTCCTGAATCTGCTAATTTTTGATATAATTCAAATGCTTTTTGTTTATCAATATCAGCTCCAGTTCCATTATCATAATAATATCCTAAATGATTTATTCCAAATACTTCTTCTATATCTTCTACACTTTGATTTATTACTAATTCAAATATCTTATGTTTATTAATATCAGCTTCAATTCTATTGTCATAATTATTTTCTAATTCATTTATTTCGGATGTATATTCTAATTCTACTGCCTTTTGATATAATTCAAATGCCTTTTTCTTATCAACATCTGTTCCAATTCCTTTTTCATAGCAATTTCCCAAATTATATATTCCAGATATATTTTTTAAATTAGCTGCTTTTTGATATAATTCAAATGCTTTTTTTATATTGATAACAGTTCCAATTCCAATAGTATAACAATATCCTAAATTATTTATTCCAGATGAATTTTCTGAATTTGCTGCCTTTTGATATAATTCAAATGCCTTTTGTTCATCAATATCAGTTCCAATTCCATTTTGATAAAAATATGCTAAAATATTTATTGCAATCACTTCTCCCAAATCTACTACTTTTTGATATAATTCAAATGCCTTTTTCTTGTCAATATCAGTTCCAATTCCTTTTTCATAGCAATTTCCCAAATTATATATTCCAGATATATTTTTTAGATCAGCTGCCTTTTGATATAGTTCAATTGCTTTTTTATAATCAATATCAGTTCCAATTCCATTACTATAACAAAATCCTAAATTATTCATTCCAGATGCATCTCCTAAATCTGCTGACTTTTGATATAATTCAAATGCCTTTTGATAATCAATATCAGTTCCAATTCCTTTTTCATAGCAATTTCCCAAACTATACATTCCAGAAGCATTTTCTAAATCTGCTGACTTTTGATATAATCCAAATGCCTTTTGATAATTAATCTTAATTTCAATTCCACATTGATAACAATATCCTAAATTATTCATTCCAGATGAATTTCCTAAATCTGCTGCCTTTTGATATAATTCAAATGCTTTTTTCTTATTAATAGTAGTTCCAATTCCAATGGTATAGCAATATCCTAAACCATTTATTGCAAATATATTTCCTAAATTCGCTGCTTTTTGATATAATTCAAATGCCTTCGTTTTGTCAATATTAGTTCCAATTCCGTTTTCATAACAATATCCTAGATTATATATTCCAGATGTATTTCCCAAATCTGCTGCTTTTTGATATAATTCAAATGCTTTTTGTTTATCAACATTGATTCCAATTCCTAAACAATTAAATTTTCCATGTAAAACAATAGAATTAGAGTCATTGGGATTATTTAGTAATAAATTATAAATTCTTTGCAAAGTCATATTATAATTATTAAAATAATTTAGTACTTTTTGTTTTCCTACTTCATCATAATCATTATCAAGTAAATTAATTACATCATTAATTACTATATTGTTAAAGCTATTCTCAAATTGGCCATTTGATGACATTGAAGTTTCTATTTCTTTTGTATCCATAATATCAAAATTTTGAATAACTTGAGATAAACTTCCATGTAATAATGAATTAATAACATTTTTAGAAATTTTAACATCTAAATTAGGTTGATGGTTATTTGATGATTGGATACTTTTATTATTATTATATAGATGAAAATCTTCAATAATTATATTTTCTTTTATCATAATTTCTTTTAATCTATCAACTACTTGATTGATAGTTGGACGACTATCAGGTTCAATATTCCAACAATCTACAAAAAAAAAAAAAAAATCTTAATTGTTTTGACAACCTTCCTCCATTATTTATAAATCATAACTTGAATTGTATTTACCAGTATAAAGTTTTATATATTCTACGGGTGTACCATGAATGGGTGTCTCTCTAAGGTTTTCTAAAATACTTAAAGCCAAACCAATATCATATGGTTTACCATGAAAAGGAGGTCGACCACTAGATATTTCCCATAACAACACACCAATGCTATAAACGTCACTCTTCTCATTTGATGAGTATACTTTCGTTTTTTTGTCATTGCTATTTCTTTCTCTATTAAATATTTTTGGATCTATATAAGGGACCATTCCAAAAACTTTTGATTGAAGGTTGGATGATTCGTCAATCCTTTTTGACAGTCCAAAATCAGCTAATTTAATAGTATTTTGATGGACTAGTACATTTTTTGAGTGCTGTTATTAAGAAAATAGTCATTATAAATTAATAATTTAAAATAATCAAAATATAATAGAAATTTACCAAATCACGATGTAAAATTCCTTCACCATGTAAGCATGATACCGCATAGACCAGTTGAAATGCAAGAATCAACTTGTCGTTCCAAGTTAGATTTTTAAAATTTTCTTTCAAATAATTTCGGAGGGTACCATTGTTAGCATATTCCAATACTAATATATACTTTTTTCTTTGGTTTTCTTTTTAAAAAGAAAAGATTTAAATAATTCATCGCTATATAATAAATAAAATAATACTAATACTTAAAATACCTTTACTGGAGGTTGTGACACCGTAGAAACGGATAACATTATCATGAAAATCAACTTCGCGCTGAAGTTGAATCTAGACAATAAATAAAATTATATATCAGAAGTGTGCGATAATGTTTTATATTTTATATTATAATTACCTCTCGAACAATTTCTTTAACTGTAGCATCATCAAAAGTAGAAAATGATTTTAATGCATAACGCTTATGAGATTTCTTCCAATTTGCACATTGAACCTTTCCAAAACCTCCAGAACCAATTTCTTTAAAATTATAAAATTGTTCAAATTCATAATATTTAATATATTTTTTAGAAACAGCTTCTTCGATCCAATTAATCCATTCATTTGAATTGTTATTTTTATTAGACATCGTTGAGTAAATAAAAATTCTTACTGCGGTTATCGCTTTCCTAAAATTAGAAAAAAAAAAAATTACAGAGTATTTTCCTTAACTATTTATAAATTAAATTTGTATCACCAAAATGTTTTCACCAAAACTCCGAAGGTAACTGTTGATCATGTTGATCATGTTGATTATTTCGCTTCTAAATTTAGAATTCGACTCCTAATTGTCCACGTGACCACTGATTTTATTTTAATGATACTAACAAATATACTAAGAGATTTGATAATTCGTGAATAAAATAACTTTCAAAGACGAATATTTTTCAAGAAAAAAGATGAAACATTTATCTGATCCAAAAGATATACTTGATATTCCGGTAATGATTTTTTTTTTTTTGATGAAAATTATGAAAATTAAAGGTTTCCTTTAACATAATTTATTTATTCTTAAAAATACGAAATATTAATTAAGAAAAAAAATGTGTAATAATAAAAAAAAAAATATTACTATATAAATTGCTAACATTTAGATGATATAAAATCACCTGCCGACAGGACATTTTCCGATAGCCTAACGCTGGGCGTTTGATCACGTGTTCATGCATAACTCTGCATAACTCTGGCCAAACTTTTCGGAAAATCGTGCCGTAGTCAGCCTTACAAGAGTTTAGTCCATGTGGCATAAAATCACAGAGTGCAAATTAATTATCTAATTTACATAATCCATAATTCCAATACAAACGCATATAAATATGAATATTTTGTTAAAAATAAAATATCATTAGCAAACTAAAGATTATATTAATCGCAAGAATTAAAGTAATAATAATATATATTTAAATTTAACTAATGACTATTTCTTATTTGATTAATTTAATTGCCAATCCGTCTAAAATCAGCACTGCGTTACTAATAAAATTCGGGGATATTAACGATAATAAAAAAACCCGTTTTTTACATCTCACGCGCGGGATAAACTTTTACCCATTTCACCCATTTCACAAATAAAAGTACCTTCAATTTTTTACTAGTTCTATAAAGAAAAATATTTAAAAAAAAGTCTTTAAAAAAAGCTTAGAAAGCCAAAAAATATATGTTTGTAATGTAAATAACATAATATAGTAAAATAAAATATTGAAATTTCTTACATTTTAAGGTGTAAATCTGACGCGCGTACATAGTAAACTTATTATTTTGCATATGAACGTAAAATTTTTTTTTGCAAATTCTTTTTTTTTCAAGTATTTTTTCAGTATATCATATGACTTTTATTTATAGTTAATATGTCGTCTATGAAAATATCCTTTTCTGAAGGATTGTGTTCTAGCACAAAATCGGCAAATTTAACCCCGAATTTTATTAGTAACGCAGTGCCGTTCTTAGACGAATCGGCAATTAATAATGATAGTGTGAAGCGACGGACTATATATTTACGAAGATCATTAAGGTGCTGCACAAAATAATTAACAAAACTATGTCAATAAAATTATTTATTTTTTCGTGCCACATAATTTTTTTTTAAAAAATAAATAACCATTACATTCGAATTTCCCAATAAATTTCAATGCTTTTTTTCATATTCGCTATCTTTTATATTTTCATGGGTCTAATTTTATTCTGGCGCTTTTTGGTTCTAAGTTTTCATCAAACATGAAGAATTACAATTGAATTTCGGCAAGTGGTCAATATCAAATAAATAATTAAAATTAACTGCATAAATTTAGTGATGCTGATTTAATCGAAACCAAATGTTATTCAATATTTTTATAAATATCATTTATATAAATGATTAATTTGTATAAAATATATTATATATTTTTTTCTTTATTAAACATTTTGTAACATGAATACGTTTATTGAATGTGCAATTTAATACCTAGTTTAAAAATAAAAATAGTATCACTATTTTGAAGATATAAAAATACTTTGAAATATCATTTACTATTATTGTCTTTTTTTTCTTGATTTTTTACTTTGAACAAAATACTGTATCTCATTTAGTGCTTTCAAAAAAATTTCATTTCTTTAATTCTTTTTTGTTATATCCTTTTTCAACTTTATCCGTATTCTTTAAGATATTTTCATTCTTTGGTCTATCAAACAAATAGATATTGCATAAAAATCATTCAAAATTTTTTAATATTTACGTCTAATTTAGGAAAACGGCATAAATTCTTAAGTTATAAACCTAACGAGTTTAGATCACTTGACTGAAATGTTTTTGAAGAGAAAAATTATACTAGTCAAAAAGACGAAATAATAAACAAATAAACTAGACTAATTTAGATACAGTTAATGAGCTTTAAAATATAAGTATATTGAACCTATTTATTAGGTTATAAGTTATAGAACTAATTTTCATAATTAATCATAACCATAATTCTCTTTATGTAAAAAATAAAAAAAAATATTTCAAAAAAATATTTAAAGTAAAAAAAATGGAAATCTAAAATTTTATAAGAAAATTTTTTTTAAAAATTATTCTCTTTTCGGTTTTTGATTAGAATAAGGAAAAATTATTCTCATAAATAACTTAATTAATTTAAATGTAATCCATAAAATAATTCCATTAAATCCAAGAATGATACATAATAAAGTTACATAAACATCATAATTATTTCCTCTTATAAATCCCATTCTTTTATCGGCAGGAATCAATTCATTTAATTCTTGATTAAAAGAACCTCGATGTAAAATATATTCAATTAAATCTGCAGCCCTATATTTTCTTTTACTATTAATTTTGGCCAAAACTTTCATTCTCCCTACATTTTTCTTTATATCATTATCATTTAATAAGAAATTTATCTTGGTTATAATATCATTAACTTCCAAATTAAATTTATTTAATGTTAATGCTACACCAGCTGATTTCAATTTTTGAGCATTACCCATCTGATCACCACCAATAGGTAATACTAACATGGGTGTACCAGTAAAAAGGGATTCATGAATACTTCCTGCACCTCCATGACTAAAAAATAATTTCGTATTGGTATGATTAAGTACAGCAAATTGTGGTACAAAATTTGTAATACGTATATTTGGATGTTCGTTATTTAGAATTGAAGATGTTTGAACTTGCAAACCATTAGTTAAATTTAATGTAGGAGAGAAATCATTCTTTGATGTCATAACTAATGACCAAATTACACCATCAATCATATTCTTATTAACGATTTCAATAATGGATTGTAAAATTTTGTTATTATTCTCAGTGGTTGTGAAGAAACGACCACCAAAAGCTATATATAAAACTCGATCATGTCCATTTATAAAATTCGAGAGTTCAGGTGTAAGTGGAGGATAATCTTTTGATATTATTGGTCCAATTTCCTAAGAAAGAATGAAAATTATTATTACAAATTGCATACATCACATTTTACTTCGCATGTTATAATATCTTCTGGTTGGTGTTTATTACCTGAACATTTGATGGTAAAGTTTGCGGTAACTTGAACGAAAAAAAAAAAATTAAAATTCAAATAAAATAAATTTAATTTAATAAAAGAAAAATATTACTTTACCTCAAGACCAAAGAAAGTATCAATAAAAACTAGAGAAGTTCGAAGTAATCTTCTAAAAGACATATAAACGGGTTCAATACTCATTTGATTTCTTAAATCATTTATTTGATTTAAAGGAGTATATAATAAACTAATAATATGAAGAGGTCGTATTATTGTACACTTAAATCTTTCCAAAAATGATTCATTTTCCAATGAAATATTACAATGGAACATTGGATCAGATTTATACGTTTGAGCGTCTGTTACTAAAAAAAAAAAGATTATTTTTTCAAATAAAAAAAATTAAATAGAAATCATCTTTTATAAGTAATTACCATAAAGAAAAGACATGAATCCAACAACAGGCTTCTTTAAAGAATGAGCGACATCTAAACAAGCATCATTAAACATAGTATAACAAATAAATAAATCAATATTATTATCAATTGCAGTATCTTTATATATTTCGAATGTGCTCTTGTATGATTTTACGGTTGATTCAAATATTTTTGATATCAATATATAATCAAATTCTGCTTGTATAAGTCGTGCAGAATCTCCTGTATTTTTAACGGTCAATGGGGGTCCCAATGAAATCTGTTTAATGGTTGGATATTCTGACGCTGGCGTATAATTTCCTGATGATAACATTATTACCTATGTATAAAGTATAAAATATAGTGAGATAAAATAACAATTTTGAAAATTATATATTTTTATTTACTCACATTGTGACCTCTTTCAATTAATACAGCAGCAATATCTAACATTGGTTTAAGATGACTTCTCCCACCAGTATAAGAGCCTACCAAAATATTTTTAGGTGAGAGATTTATATCTAAATTTGTAGGAATATAATTTCGTGTCGCTATAATAACATTGATATGTAAGATAAGATTTAATAAGAATAACGATAATAAGAAAGTAAAAATTTTTTTATTCATTTTCATTTTGGAATTAACTTGATTGATACGATACTTCAAAGTCTCTTTATTTAATAATTATGTGTTATTAAGGTAAAATTATTTACCGAATAATCGTACACAGTTATTACATAATTTCTCATTGGAACGGTACGGTTGAGTAATTTTTCCATTTATTCTTTATCTTTAGACTAAAAATGATCAATATCTAAATATGGCTAATTTACGAAATTAAAAGAGGTGATTTTCACTCGCATGATTATAATTTTTTTTTTTTCCTTTCAATATTCACCATTAAAAATAACTTTGGAAATAAGATATTACAAAATGATAAAAAAGGCTACCAAAAGGGGAGGGCGGAAATAAATAAAAAACAATAATAAAAAATTTCTTAACTATAACTGTTTATACAGGTTGAAACTGGTTTTTTTTATTAAGTTTCATTTTTTTTTCCTTAACGTAAAGTAAAACGTAAAGTAAAATTTTTTTAATTGATCTGCAGATTCACCTGATCGTGTATGATGATCACAAAAGGTATTAATAATCGGTTTTAGTTACCCTATGATATTAAATGTTTAAAAATATTAAAAATCTTAATAAAAAAAGTGAAAATATTATATTATAGGAATTCCGGGCCGGGTTCAAAATATGGCTAAATACGCCAAATACAGGTCCATCCCAAATAATTTAGTACTTTTATGGAAAACAAGTATCAAAATTATGACCAGTGTTTTACCGATATATATTTTTACTATTGATCTTGTATATACTGTCGAAACTACACAAGATTTTAAATAATCAACTATATTGTACCAGGGTAGAGTATAATGTATTAAATTCTAATATTAAATTCGAAAAATAATCGGAAAATTTAGCGTGACTGTCCCAAATATTTCTGATTATATAATCGATTCAAAATTTACAGGTATGTAATACAAGCGAAAAAAATAGCCATGGAACTCACTTCAAGGTTAATGATATCATAACCACATTTAGTAAAGTGCTCGTAAGAACAAATCGGCTTTGATCATGTACATTAATAATATTCTGATCGTGTACACCAATGCAGATAATTTACAAATGAACCCTTAATTCGTGATCGGTAAATTGGATTGACAATAAAGATCCTTGCTTTGGCAACGATCACTGTGGAATCTTTGACTATATCAAGGAGCAAACTAATTATTATTGGCGAAGTGTGTGAATTTTTTTCACTCAGCCACATTATTTCGGGCAAATTTACATTTTTGTAAAGATTTTGCTGATCTTTGATAATTGTACTAACAATGCGAGTGGTTGGGCTTTGAGGGAGGTTGATATACAGTAAATCTTTTATATAGAGTCATCATCTTAACTGAAGCAACGAATTAGCGAGCTTAAAGCTGATTATGGTTGAAAATGTAAAGTTATAAAAGAGAATGTCGAATTCAAGAAAAGAATCGAGGAGATAAAAAAAAATGGAATTAGTAATACTGCAGTCAAGAAGTGTGAGATTAAAAGTTATTAAACTGGAATAAGAAATGGGGCTTCTGAGAAGTAAACACGGGATGCCGATCTGTTCATCCTAACTGCAAAATAGATATCTGCTGAAGCTAGCGTCTGTGATACAAACGCTAAGCGCTCCTGTTTGATCATCTACTCTACCACCAATCATTTTGATAACCGAAATTAGATTTGCAAATTATTATTTTTTTTTCTTGAAGCAGATTCAGAATTGTTAGACGAATTACATCAAATAATTACGAATTATAATTCAACTTCAGCGACATCATTGTGTATATATAGAGGTGCAATCTTATCAAATTCTCATTATTTTTACATAAACAAATCTCAAAAAATCTGACAAAATAAAATACTAAAGAATCATTAATCATGAAACCAACATTTTTTCTCGCAATCTTTTTGGCACTTATTGTTATTATTCAAGCATCTCCTGTAAACCTTATTAAAAGAGAGGAATCTTCAGAGACACCAAAAGAGGGAGATCCTGCAGAATCCGATAGAACTGTACCATCAGGACCAAATCCCCTCCATAATAAAAAATAGGATGTTGCAGTACGTTAAGTCCCTAGTTTAAAGACCTATAATCTACTTCCTTTTTTTTCTTTTCTTTACTGATAATGTTGAACTTTTCCCTATAGGGTTAAATTACGATAATAGGTTGGGTCATTTGATATAAGACTTTTACAAGAATTTGCATGTATTTTTATTTATCAAACTCATATACTTTTTCTCCATTTACAATCACCTTTTTTTTTTTATCATATTTGTGTGAAAAATCAAATTTATTTGACAAATAGATAGTTTAAATCTCGATCACAATATTTTATTTCATATAACCTTTTTTTTTTGATTAATTTAGCATTTCATCTTGATTTATATATTCAAAACATAAATTCTTTTACATAAAAAAATGAAGAACAAATAAACTCTTATTTTTTTTTTCTATTTCATTTATGCGAGATTTATATATAAAGGTTAAATAAATAACTTTTTTAAAAAAAATTTTCTTGTCTATAATACATTTTTGATCGATTGTATCACGTGTTTGCAGATTTTTCGTCGTGAAATCCAATAATTTAAAAATTTTTTATTTGTTATATATTAAACTTCATGTTATTAAGTTTAAAAAAATATATATATTTTTTTCCGCATGTCAAGTTGATTTTCCTGAAAGGAAATCATTTTTTCACATGGTTTTTCGTTAATATCAGGTTTTAAAAAAAATATTTAAATAACTTGTTGGATATTTGTTTATTACCTTAAATATTTAAATAACGTTATTTTTACATGAAATGTAAAAAAAAAATTCTTTTTTATCGTAAAGAAAATACTTTTGACTGTAAAAAATTAACGGGAACCGTTGTTAAAGATTATTATGTAACGGCAGCGATATTATGTCTTTTGTATCACCTTTGCGTAGAAATATAATTGTCTTTTTACACTCCAGACTAAATACTAACACTAGGATTCAAAAATCATGCCTTTAATAATACTAATATCTGTTGTACAATATTTAAACATTAAGCTAGAAGATCTATATGTTTACCATTATGCTAGTTCATCATTTTTTTTTTTATATCATATCAATCATTTAAAATCCCGCAAATCTAAAACATGCAAATATATGTATTAAGATCAATTATAAAATTCAAAGGGACTAAAAGAAAAATTCTAAAAACAATAAAACAAAGAAATCTTGTATTTACATGTAATAACTGAAACTATTACCAGTTATAATGCACACACCTGAAACGTAAAGGGTATTACATCATCCAATATCTTGAAAAGGATGCCCTTGGCTCAAAAACTGGCAACTCTGGTTTCTACCCGCAGTTTATTGCATTAGGTAACGATGATGTAATTTATTAAATTAATAAACTCCATATAAATAAACGTCATAAAAGAGTAAATATAAATAAGATATTTTAATTCCAAATTCAATTAAATAAACAAATATGCATTATTTTTTTTTTTGTGCTATAAATAGTAAGGAAATGACCAAACGATATAAAAGGGACATCAACTTTGTCTCCACTCTTCATTTTTTCTAGCTGAAAAAAAACTTTTAACCACAAATTAATTATTCTAATCAAAATGATTTCAAGAAAATTGTATCTCTTGACCATAATCGTCTTTATTTGCACAATATTTATAGGATTAACTCAACCCGCTCCATTGAATAAGCGTGAAGCTAATGACGATAATTCAAAAACAGCTGTAGGTTCGAATGGGATACCGCAAGCTTTACCTGGCAATAAAATGGCCAAACATCAATGATTAGTATAAATGGTATAGTTTTTGATAATAAGTTCAAATTTTGTAATTTTGAAACTTTTGAATTAATTTTCTCGTTTTTTTTTCTTATAAACAAAAGAAAATACTTTGTCGAAATATTATTACATGATTGTCCTTTCTTAATATGTCATAATTTTTCATCCTTTTTTAATCGAAATAATAAATAAATTATCATGCTTTTAAGTAGTCTGTCACGTGTAACATCCTTTTATGTAAATCAAGAATATTACTGTATCAGGTATCTATTAAAATAGAATACGTACGAAATATGTTACATAAATTATTTATAACCAAATAATTTAGTACTTTTATAGAAAACAAGCGCATTTGTTATTTTGTAATAATGATCAGCTTACGTTTTATATAGTATTATTCGTTTTTATTGTATTGATATACTATTGATATCTTACAACATAAATAAATACAGTGCTGTATTTAAAGTAAAACCTAATATGTACAGTACATCTTTTAATAAGAGTAATAATTTTTTTATTAAACAAAATTTTATTGGAATTGGTATTGGCACTCTTTATTAAATTCTTCGAGAGATGGGTGATAAATGTGCTGTATCATGCTTATAAAAGCATGGTATTTATATATTATATGTTATAATTTTGTGCTGTCATAATTAAATTGTCCTGTTTATATTTGAATAATATCACTTCAATAATTTATTAGTACATTAAATTTAGATTATTAAAGCGTTATAATAATAATTTAATTTTAAAACAAGTAATACAGACCCCGGCGAAAATAATGGCGGTCAGTCTTTTTGATATCACGAATGTAATTTATAGTAAAATGTGAAATTTTTTTTTATTTTCTGAAAGAGGAACAGAAAATACATATATTTCATTATTTAAATAATATTTGATATGATCATCTTCCCGTGTCAATAAATGCTTTAATTAAGTATTGCGTACTATTCGCACTCTTAACCAGCGTTATTTTATTATGATATTTTAATATTTTCTTAGCTTTCTCGCCATCCAGAGGTCAGATTGAGACAAATTTACCACCATTGGATTCCTCTTGACTATGTGGTTCGAATGGTGGTCTAAAAATTACTGTTTAGCATCTGTGTAATGTGATAGTTCAAGTATAATAGTTAGTATTATGAATTTTTATGTTGTATAAAGATAAAAGCAATATAAATGCTCAATAATATAATAAAAGACCATTATTTAAATCTCATAATTGCAAGAAATCTAATAGTTGTAATTTTTTTTCAATACAAGCTTTGGTTGATGAGAAAATGAAGTTTAAACTTTTTATTTCAAACTTTCATACCAAATCCAAAAAATTATTAGTAGTATTTCTCTGTGATAATGTGATATAACAAAATGCAATTATAATATTTGGCAGTTAAAAGTAAGTGGTTTTTTTTTAAAAAAAAATTGGAATTTATTATTATGTAGGATTTTGAGCATTTTAAAAAAATTCATAGCAAATTATTATGCTCCGATTCCTATTAAATTTATAACTTCTTGGTTTTTTAGAAGGTAAAATAGGCGTAAAAACAATAATAAATCTTCATTTTTTTTTATTGCTTTTTAAAATAGTGTTCTAAAAATCCGTTGGGCATTACAAGTTTTAATTTAAATAGGAAAATTCTGATCTCATATCCAAAATAACAAATGATATTTGCACCGCCATTCTATTCACCAGGGACTGTATATGTATGTCTATTTTTATAACGGAAAAATAAAATTTAGAATTTTCATATATTTAATATCGGTAGATTAAATAATTAAGCTTTATTCCATGGGTATCTAATAAATACTCCATATACACCGATGCTCCCCACCCTTCTGGGGGCCTCCAAGTCATCGGTGAATATTTCAGTTATTCATTGATACCCATGGAATAACAAGTATGTATTATAACTTATCAATATCTTTAACTACGTTTACTGTTAGATAATATAGTTCAAATACATAAGTATGCATATATATCGTTATACGATTTGATCGCAATATTACCAAAATGTATATAAGTAGTGAGAGAACTGTTGAAGGCACAGACAAAGCAATTTGTTAGTGTAAAAAACTGTTTAACAAGGATAACTTTTAAAGAATGATTCATCCAAAGTAAATTATATTTAATATCTAAAATAAAATACCAATATATATTTTAATCGTGTTACCGGTTTGCAAACTACGTTATATTTAATACATCATATTATAATCATATTTTGGTTTGAGTAATTTGAAATTAAGACAAACACGAATAAATGTCTAAAACCAAATTTTGACCGCTTATTAATTAGAGATATAAATATTGCTACGATAATTTATTTTTAAAGCGTGTTAAAAGTTACTCTTTTTTGAGAAAAAAATAGATAATACTGTGAATCTTACAAATTGATGTACAGTAATAATAAGTTGTAAATATCTACTTTTGCTTTAATTACTCCATTTTGTCTTTGTAACTTAACTTAATAATTATAATAATATGTCAAAAAAACTTAAAGTCTTTTTATAATAAGCAGTAAGCATAAAGCTTAGAATCAACAATATAAATACCGTAATATATATATTTATCTTTTAAAAAAAATAAATTTATATATACATCACGGTGTATTTATGAAATACCCCAAAATTCGTCCGTCGACCGTATTTTAGTCACCAAATTTAATTTAAGTCCCCAAAAAATTTTTTTGTACCCTAAATCTTTCATCTAACCGATTTCCCACTATCTAACCAATTTTCCAGTGTTAAAGGCGAGTAATTATTTGACATTTTTTAGGGAAAAACTAAACGCTAATCGATATCATGTTTCTGTAAGTCAAATTTTAATTCCCGAGGGCGCAGCAAAGGATTTCATAAATCCGTCGCAATGCAGTGCATATTTGCGAAATAAAAATAATAATTTAAACAATTTATCTATAAACCTATTAAATAATTTATTCGAAATAGTTATAATAAGTTATTAAAATTTGTTTCATTAAATCATCCACGTGACAACTAAAAAATTGAAAGACCCCGTCCAAGTGATCATCAAAATTTGATGATCGCTGAAATGGGGTGTTTCCAATTTTTTTAAATTCTTAAATTAGAAGTAAAATGATCGACAGTTACCTTTGGCGTTCAGTGATACCATTTTATTTATAAATAGTTAAACTTAAATAGTTAAAACAAACAAAATTACTTTTTCAATTTTTGAAAAAATATAAATTTAAATTCCGCAGTAAGAATTTTTCTGTACCCCAACAATGTCTAATAACGCTGAACTTGTTAACAATTCAAATGATTGGAATAAATGGATTGAAGAAGCCATTTCTAAAAAACTTATTAAATATTATGAATTTGACCAATTTTATAATATTCAAGAAATTGGTTTCGGTGGCTTTGGAAAAGTTAGTCGTGCAAATTGGAAGAATTCTCATAAGCGTTATGCAATAAAAACTTTTTTTAATATCAATGATGCTACAGTTAAAGCAATTATTCATGAGGTAATTATAATGTCAACCATATCTCATTAATTAATTATAAATATCTAAGTTTTTTATTAATGTAATATTTTATTTATTACTAGATTCAACTTTAACGTGAAGTTGATTTTCATGATAATGTTATTCGTTTCTATGGTGTCACAATTTCTAGAGGTATGATAATTGATAAGTTCTAATATCATTTTATTTTATAATATATAATAATTAATTATCTAATTCGCACAATTTTCTTTTTAAAAAGAAACTCAAAAAAAAGCGTATTCATTGGTGATAGAATATGCTGAAAATGGTACTCTCCGAAAATATTTAAAAGAAAATTTTGAAAATCTTACTTGGGAAGATAAATTTGATCTTGCATTCCAACTGGCTTATGCAGTATTATGTTTACACGATGAAGGGATCATGCACCGTGATTTAGTAAATATTTTACAATTTATTATGTGTTTTATTTTAATGTTTACTTTATTATAACGTTAATTTAATATTAATAGCACTCCAATAACGTGTTAGTCCATCAGAAGACTATTAAGCTAGCAGATTTTGGTTTATCAAAAAGAATCGAGGAAATATCCAACCCTCAATCAAAAACATTTGGATTAATTCCTTATATTGATCCAAAAATATTCAACAGAAAAGTAAATAATGAAAACAAAATAACAGTATACTCATTAAATAAAAAGAGTGATGTTTACAGTATTGGCGTACTCTTATGGGAAATATCCAGTGGCCAACCACCTTTTAGTGATGAATTAAATGATCTTGGATTGGCTATGGCAATTTTTCAAGGCCTTAGAGAGAAACTTATTCCTGATACACCTGAAGAATATATAAAAATTTATACTGGTAAATACTGGCAAACTTACAATTCAAACCTACAATTTATGATTAATTAAGACATTTTTTTGTAGATTGTTGGAATATTGAACCTGATAACCGTCCAACTATCAATCAAGTGGTCAATGAATTAAAGGCAAAAATGACAAAAGAAAATATAATTATAAAAGATCTTCACTTACATGATAATAACAAGAATATTCAATCATCAAACAATCAACAGCCAATTAAAATTTCTGAAAATATTGATTCATTACATGGAGATTTATCTAAACTTATTCAAGACTTCAATATGATGAATACAAAAAAAATAGAATCTTCAATATCATTAAGTAACCAATTTGAGAATAGCTTTGATATGATAGTCAATGATATGATTAATCTTCTTGATTATGATAGTATTGAAGAAGGAAAACAAAAATTACTAACTTGTCTTAATAGCCATAATATAACTTTACAAGAATATAATAATTTATTATTAAATAATCAAAATAGCTCAAATTCTCTTGTCTTACTTGGTCAACTTAATTTTTTAGGAGTTGGAATGAGTATTAATAAGCAAAAAGCATTTCAATTAAATCAAAAGGCTGCAGACTTAGGAAATGCATTTGGAATATGTATTTTGGGATATTATTATATAAAAGGAATTGGAACTGATATTGATAAGAAAAAAGCATTTGAGTTATTACAAAAGGCAGCAGATTTAGGAAATTTATTAGGAATAAATGGTTTAGGATATTGTTATCTATATGGAATTGGAACCGATATTGATAAGAAAAAAGCATTTGAACTTTATCAAAAAACTGCAGATTTAGGAAGTGCATTTGGAATATGTATTTTGGGATATTATTATATAAAAGGAATTGAAACTGATATTGATAAGAAAAAAGCATTTGAATTATTTCAAAAGGCAGTAGATTTAGAAAATTCATATGGAATGATTGGTTTAGGACATTGCTATCAAAATGGAATTGGAACCGATATTGATAAGAAAAAAGCATTTGAATTATTTCAAAAGGCAACAGGTTTAGAAAATTCATCTGGAATAGATCATTTAGGATATTGTTATGAAAATGGAATTGGAACTGATATTAATGAGAATAAAGCATTTGAGTTATATCAAAAGGCAGCAGATTTAGAAAATGCAATTGGAATATTTAATTTAGGATATTGTTATCAAAATGGAATTGAAACTGATATTGATAAGAAAAAAGCATTTGAATTATTTCAAAAGGCAGCAAATTTAGAAAATTTAGAAGGAATAATTAGTTTAGGATATTGTTATCAAAATGGAATTGGAACTGATATTGATAAGAAAAAAGCATTTGAATTATTTCAAAAAGCAGCAAATTTAGGAAATGTGGATGGAATGAATAATTTAGGATATTGTTATCAAAATGGAATTGGAATTGATATTAATAAGAAAAAAGCATTTGAATTATATCAAAAGGCAGCAGATTTAGGAAATGCTTTTAGGATGAATGAATTAGGATATTGTTATAGAAATGGAATTGGAGTTGATATTAATATAAAAAAAGCATTTGAATTTTATCAAAGGTCAGCAAATTTGGAAAATAGTGCAGCTCAATATAATATTGCTATTATGTATGAGAATGGGTTAGGAACTGTTAAAGATATAAATAAAGCAATTTATTGGTACAATAAATCAGCTAAGCAAGGAGGTCAAGATGCTCAAAACAAATTAGAAAAACTTAGGAAAAGGAACTGAACAATTCATGTAAAGTAATTTAAAAATATTTTTATTAAAATTTAGATAAAATGAAAACATTACTAGGGTTGTTATTATTTATTTATTTATTTATTGTTATTTGCCAATATTGCTAATAATTTTAAAAATAAAATTATTGTGATATATTTATAAAAATAAATAATTATTAACAACCACAAACTGTTATACGATTTCTTGTGTATGTTGGGATTCTCCCAAAATCCTGACAACCATAATCCCAATGTGATAAAATCTTGACACTCCTATTTCCGACTAAGACAATATCCTGAATGATTAAAATACTGAAAGAATTATATCCTGAATAGTCCAAAATCTGGAATTCAAAATTCCTGAAAGTTCAAGTTACTGATGAGTCAAAATTCCGACACAATAAAGAAAAGAATTTTTTCATGTGATCATTTATGTAATAAATTGTAGTGATTGCACAATTGTTAATAATTTGCATAATTTGCCAAGGAGTTATTATGTCAATTACTACTGTGTGATCTCACTATATATTATACTGTAACATGTAAGTCATAAATCAAAATTGCAATTTTTTATCATTTAAATTGGAAATAGTGCATATGTATTGTATATATGATTGTATTAATTGTCACAAATTATATAATCAGTAGGAAATAATCTTCCTAGTAAACAAAAATCAAAGAGATACTCAAAATTATAATATTGTGTCAGGATTTTGACTCATCAGTAACTTGAACTTTCAGGAAATTTAAATTCTGGATTTTAGACCATTCGGGATATAATACTTTCAGGATTTTGATCATTCAGTATATTGTCTCTGTTAGGAATACATGCCTCGGGATTTTATCATATCGGGATTGTGCTTGTCAGGATTTCGTGGTAAACCCGTATATGTTAAATGATGATCTGATATGATTTCAGTACATTTGTATACATGTCAATTTCTGATATTATGTGCCAGTTTATATCGATATACAACTGCAGATTTGTGTACATTAGATTAGCTTAATAGATGATATTGGTTTTATTTAATTATATTTACATATGTAGTAGTAGTATAGTTATTTATATTAATGTTTATATTATTTTATGTTATTTATTTTTATATAGATATATTATAATGAAACACTACCAATCAGATAGATATGATGTCAATAGGATATCCATAGATTAGATGTCATTTGATATCAGAAGAAAAAGAGATGGAGAAATAGATATAAATACATCTTCTGTCAACTCGTTAATAAGAAGGTCATATTAGTAGGTATTTTAAGATATATTGAAGTTATATTCCCTTAAAAAATATACCTCTATCACTTTTTATCACTTTTTATCATTTTGTTGTAAACTTATAACCCTACATTTATTTAATAAAATTGTTATACTTCAGTTAATCTTAATTTGTTATTTTTGTGTATTATTATAAGATTAGTCTTATAACCATCATGTGCTATTATTAATTGTATTTTGTAGTTGTTTACCTTGCTGATTCTTAACAAACAATACTGGAATACCAGGATAGATAAAATCCATTGGTAATTGTGTGAATCTACGATTTAATACCGCTAGCTATATGACTCTTATCTGCTGATATATTCAGTAACAAAACAATACATGTGCTTTTATTTATATATAATTCGTTTATAATACCAAAAATTTAACCATTAATCATCCTTTTATTGATCAGTCTATTAGTATTATGCAGATGCTAATTTTAAATATCAAATATACAGTATTTGCAATCATATTATTAATTTTTTAATGTTAAGATTTTTTAATATCAAATGTATATTTTTTGTATAATATTATCATAATAGTAAATTTAACTATCAGCATGATCTTGTCAATATTATTTTAATATCATATTTCTGAGTTAATCTTAATAGAAAATTATGCTTGTATCATATAGTGCAAATGTATAAACTCTGTTGCTTTTTAAACTTTATAGATTTTACAGCATTTATTTGTGAATTGTGACATTCCCATTTTTATTATTTTATTATACTGTATTATAGCCAAATAATAATTTAAAATTTAAAAAAACCAAATTTAGAATTGCGACAAGTGTAAAAAAAGGGATAACTACGATCCAAACTTTCTTTAATCATTTCTATAAAAAATAAATTGGTTTATTATTATTTAAATTACATAATTATGACTTAGTTTCAATTAATGTTAATTATAATCAACATACTTTTTGTGTTAATTAAAATCAACATAAACTGAAGAATAAAATTTAAGTTTTGATTACCTAATAATTTAAAGACAATTTCATTCTTTACTGAAACTTGCAAAATCGGGACTGTGTAGTAGCTATGTAGTCGCTATATATATTAAAAAAAGTAGTAGGCGTATCACTATTTTATGTTTAACGTAGGGTATTCATATGGAGCGAATATAAAAATACTGTGAATAATTTAGATAATCCAGCAAGTTTATATGTAACAAATACAATGTAAAAATGTAGTTTAAGTGTAGCTTATGTAATGCAAAAATGTAGTTTATTTAAAGTAATATTACAGTTTACTCAAAGTTATAATACAGCTTCATTGTATCAACTATCTAAATCTATACATATTACATTTATATTAAATCTATATTAATTCTATTTTGTATCGATATTAATCTATACTAAAAAAAAGAAAAAAGCTAAAAAAATCTTTTTCTAAAGTTTTGAATTCCTTTTTTTGAAACTATACTTGGGATTTTTGTTTCCAAGCTTGAGCCAACTTCTCTACAAAAAAAAGGAAATAAATTAAAAAAAACCTCTTTCTA